GGAGCGGCCCGGCATGAACCCAAACTGATTGTCGGATATAGACGTCGTCTTCCTCACCCTCACCTCCACCACCCTCTCCCAGACTTTCATGGTATGACTAAGTAACTTGATACCCCTATAATTGTTACAACACTGGATATCACCTTTATTCTTGTACAACGGTACCACTGTACTCGACCTCCATTCCTCCGGCATCCTTTTCGTCCTAAAAATTACATTGAACAACCCAGTCAGCCATTCCAATCCTACTCTACCCACATACTTCCAAAACTCAACCAGAATTTCATCTGGCCCCGTCGATCTACCCCTACTCATCTTAGGCAAAGCCCCCACGACCTCGTCGACCCTAATACGCCTGCAATACCTAAAATCTCGGAGACTCTCTGAATGCCCCAAGTCCCCTAGCGCTATATCCCGATCCCCCTCCTCATTTAGAAGACCATAGAAGTACGTCTGCCATCTCTGCTTAATCTGGGGATTTCCCACCAATACTCTACCATCCTCATCTTTGATGCACCTCACTTGGTCCAGATCCCGGGCCTTCCTCTCCCTAGCTTTAGCCAGCCGAAACAACTTCATGTCCCTTCCTTTCTCCCCTAATTTCTCGTATATACGGCTAAACGCTGCATTCTTAGCCTCCGTGACCGCCAGTTTCGCCTCCTTCCTAGCCAATTTGTACCTCTCTTTATTCGCTCTCCTCTCCTCCTCGCTTGAGCTCCCTGCCAACTTCGCGTACGCTACCTTCTTCGCCTCCACTTTACCTTAGACTATGTCATTCCACCACCAGTCTCTTTGGTGCCTGCTAGAAAAACCCTTCGATACACCTAGCACCTCTCTCGCCGCCTTACTCACATAGTTCACCGTAGTTGACCACATAGTGGTCGCGTCTCCACTACTCTTCCAAGCTCCCATAGCATATAACTGCCCCTCCAATTCCTGGGATTTATCCTTGGTTAAAGCTCCCCATCTAATCCTTGGTCGGCCACAAGCATACCTCTTCTTCCTCTTCATCATAATGCCGATGTCCATCACTAAGAGCCTATGCTGAGTCGCGAGGGTCTCTCCTGGGATAACCTTGCAATCCTTGCACAACCCTCTATTACACCTTCTGAGGAGAAGGTAATCGATCTGAGTCTTCGCCGCCGAACTTCGGAAAGTAACCAGATGCTCCTCCCTTTTCGAAAAAGTTGAGTTCGCAATCACCAGCTCGAAAGCCTTAGCGAAGTCTAACATCGAAGTACCTCCTCCGTTCCTATCCCCAAGGCCAAAGCCACCATGCACCTCGCCATAACTACCAACAGCCGCCCCGATATGGCCATTAAAATCCCTTCCAATAAATAACCTTTCAGTAGGAGGAATACTACGCACAATCTCATCCAGGCCCTCCCAAAAACGCCTCTTAACCTCCTCATCCAAGCCCGCTTGTGGCGCGTAAGCGCTAACTACATTGAGGGTGCACTCACCAATGACCAACTTAATAAACATTAGCCTATCATTCACTCGCCTAACCTCAACCACAGACTCTTTAAGATCCCTATCCACCAAGATACGCACTCCATTCTTACCCCTCACGACTCCAANACGCTTAAAATGGTGCTAACTAGATAGCCACAAATTATCTAACACAGAGAAAGAGACAAGAAAATGGGAGGTACCAACTCCTGATGGAAAGAACCTGGAAATATTACTTGATGCACCCGGAGATGCTCCGCTCTACTCGCCCGTATGCCTCGCGCTTGCCTGGGCAGCTGCAACAATTCCCGCAAATATAACCTGTGTGCTTTGGAACCCGACGTCCAGCCCTTTGTGACTGTCAAATGGCCTGCTTCGCTATGCTTGTCCGTGCACCTCCCACCCGTCACCAAACAGCCACCAAAAGTGCTACTTGCAACACACACAGCAAACCCCGAGGCCAAGAAAAGGGGGAGGACTGTCACCGGAACGGTCGCCGGAAAACAGTGCCTGCCCGAGAACTAGAGGTACGCCGAGGCAAGGTTTGAAAAAAGGGGAAACACATGGGAGAGTAGTGTGGCTGGGACGGAAAAGCAGAAGATAACTTGCGCCGATGGGTCGCCAGTCGCCGGCCTAGTTGCTGTTAGGGTTAAAAGAAAGGGAAAGGAAGAGAGAGACCCGGGAGAGAGAAATGAGAGGAGAGGAGAGAGAAAGAGAGGGCCGAACTTACCTGGTTCACCTGGACGAATCACCTGCGCTGAGATTTGCCGGTGGAAATTTGCCGGTGGAAATGGCAGTGTTACCGTTAGAGAGACAGGCGTGCGTTGAACCCAATACTTTTCTCGTGGAATATAAATTTATGTATAAAATAAATTACAATTGCAACGAATAATGGATGTGAACTCATAACTTTAAAAATATAATGGATTATATGCTAAAAATCTTAAAGGTTGAACCCGTAAAATTTAAATCTTGGATCCGTCTCTATTTATATCAGTGCGTGTAACTATAGATTTTTGCTATTTTTTTGATGTATTGTGAAGGTTTTTACTTTTGCCATTCGATACAGATAAGATGCATAATAGATGTCAATCGGGGCGAAGTTACACTCTGGTAAGGGTGGTCTTGTCGGAATATACCACGTATATAGGTAAAATATTAGGTTTTGGAGGTATATAACATATATTGAACACCTTTTGTCAATTTTTTTTTTTACTTTTTTTCAAGTTTGAACACCCTTGAAGAAATTCCTAACTTCGCCATTGATGTCAATCACTGAAAAAAGATTAGTACTATAGTAAGAAAAAAATCAGATACGATTCCCAGTTCCTACATGAAAAAGCACCAAAAGCACATTAGTCTAACATTTTGAGAATTCATGAGTAAAGCAAAAAAGAGAACAACATCCATCAACTGATATTGGACCAAATAGAAAAGAACGCGGCTAGAATTGTGACTAGCCGTGAAATTCAGAGAGGTTTTCATGTGTGCTCTAATAGTTAATAAAGTTAGTGACACAAGTTAAGAGTTCAAATACCTACGAACAAAAAAGATATCACGTCTTCTTTTCATCTGCTTAAATTTTGGTGGATATAATTCCCTAATATCAATATTAGTGGGGCTAATGAGAAACAGCAATTACTCGATCGAATGGTAGAATACGCGCAAATGGTCCAAACATCACTAAAAAAAGCAGTTCGTACTTCGTTGCACTAGATATTCCGTGTTCACGCATAATCAGGAGAGGGATCGCATCTTAGAGGGTATGATATAGACAACCAGGGGCGAAGGTACATTTCTTAAAGGGGGTCAGTTGACCACCCTTCGTCGCAAAATTACACTACGTATA